GCCGTTGGCATGCATTTGCTTTCTGCGAGTCTTGGGACACTTTTGGAACCAGCACTTCTTGGTTGATTACCGCAGTATCCAGGAAGGCCAGGTTCTCTGTTGAGAAGTGTTGTCTGCTCTTGACCAGGCTGTGTCACTAGGTGATGGGACGTCTGAACTTCCAGCCTGTTGCTGATTGTAAAGCTGTGTGGTGGTGGTGTCAGCCACTCTCTTGGGCTATTTTTGCCTCTTTCTTTGATGTTTTTATTATTTAAGATATTTTTCCTACAATGAGATGCACAGCCTTTAACTCTTTAGTTTGATGACTTCAGACCACTCCTGGGTCACTGTGTTAAACGTATATTGGAAGTGTATTTTGAACCACTTTCCATGTGACAACAGTTTGAAAATCAAAACATTTCATTCTCTGCATAGTTCTTATCATAGCCTTTCTCATACTTGCTCTGGGGCCTGTCTTTGTGAGATGGATTAGTGGGATCTCTTAGCAGAGGCCAGATGGCACCCCATAGGCCAATCACTCTGCAGAATGGACACTTTCGGGCCAGTGTGGTCCCAGGTCAGCTTTCAGGCCTGTGCTCGACCCGAACGGGGAGAAGCTGCCTGTCCCCCACGCGGTGTGCTCACGCCTGGAGCTCTGACAGACCAGAAACGCTGAGGTCGAGTGAGTCAGAGCAGCTGGTGCCATTCCCGGGTCGCCACCATCCTCATTTCTTTCATTTTTGTGTTTGGCTCAAAAGTCCCTCTGCGGCGCGGCAGGGAGAGAGCTGGAGAAAAGAATGATGGGTAGGTGGGGATGTTTTTAAGCCTTGAGGCTTTCCTCACACCAGGGAAGGATTGTTTTGGAAATTTTTTACCCTCTAAGTGGCGGCTGTGAGCCTTTGCTCTGTGTCCCATAAATCAGTTAGGATTTACTCCTCAAGAAGGATCACTGGTGGCTCCCGGGCATTGCTGGGCATTGTGAGCCATGATTGCGTCTCCCTGGGCGGCTGGTGGATTATAAAGCTGTGAATTGCCTTCCTCTTAGCGCAGTGTGGGCATCGAGAGCTTGGTCCTTGGAGGGAGTTGGACTTGGTTTGACTGCTGGCTTCCCCACTTACTGGCTCTGGGGCCTTGGTAATTTACTAACCTCCTCCAGGCCCAGGGCCGTCCACCGTGAAGCGGAGGAAATAGTGTCCTCCCTCTGAGAGGCTGCTGTGCGGGTCACATGGGATGAGGCCTGGTGGCGACCAGCCCGGGCCTGGCCCGTGGTTAGCACTCGGTGGATGGTGAGGACCAGCCGCTCTCCTCGTTGCCGCAGTTCCAACACCTCCAGGGAGTGTGCTGCAGAGCTGGGGGCAGGGCAGTGTGTCCTCTCCCCGGCCTGCTTAGCTTCTCTTTGCTTTCAAGAGGAAAGGGGCTGTCTGGGGAGGGGCAGCACCTCCCCTTGCTGCTGGTCAGAGAGAGTCCAGGCTTGCTAAGCGTTTGAGAGGGCTGGCACTTTCTGCCTCAGTGGGCACTTGTTCCGTTCTTGTCAGTAAAAAGCTTGTGCCAAAGCCCAGGGTCCTGGCCATTTTTCTGAGGGTAATGGGAAAAACAGGGATCCCACAGCAGCAGGTCAGCCTGTAGGAGCTCCTGAAGTGGGTGTGCATGCTTCCCCTCCGCCCCATTCCCTGGGAGGTTTTCCAGAATCCTCTTAGCCAGGCCCAAGTCCATAGACCAGGGGCTGCCCGGCGTCCATGCTGAGTGGAGCTCTGGGGAATTCTGGTGCTTACCCGGTCAGGAAGCGTTGCCCTGAAGAAAATCTCCGAAGGGGCCGAGAAGGACCCGGCCAGGCTGCGGCACCCTGAGCCCTGGTGATGCAGGGACTGGAATGTGGGTTCCTGGCTCCTGTCCGAGGCATTTTCTTCTCACCATGCCCATTCTTTTACCATATTTGCTGTTCCTCATGGTGGGGTCAGAAATAGCCGGCCCGGACTTGGTGAGCTTTCTATTCCCTGGGGCCAGCACACTGTGGGCCAGCGAACAGCACGCTGTCAGCCTTCTTAACGTCAGGAAAAGCTTTTTTGGAAGAAGACAGGAGGCTTGGGATTGCAGGCTGCTTCCTGCTGGGTTCCTGCTTGTAGCTCTGCTGGTGAAGTTTCCCGTCCCAGAGCCGTCCCCCCCGGTGTAGCGGCTGACTCATCTGTCCTGGGCACACTGCAGCCCTGTGTCCTGGAGAGCCCAGGCTGTGGCGGTCCCTAGGCCACCGCTTGTTCTGATTTACTGCTAGAGGCTGGGTTTGTGCCAGAGGTGGTGGCCCCTGTAACACAGGACGTGCCACATTCGGTATTTGGTTAATGCGATGTAGTCCTCATATTGTCCTGACACTGTGACATCAGCCGTTCGTCAGGTGCTTACTGTGTGCCGCCCTAGCAACCCCAGTGGGAGGTGCTGCGATCCTTGTTAACAGATGAAGAAACAGACTCAGAGAGATTAGGAGGCTTACCTGAGGTCACACAGCCAGGAAGCAGCAGGGTTGGAATTTGAACCCCAGATGTTCAGGTGTGCAGGGCCTGCAGTGTTACCCACTCCTGTTTCTCACTGCAATAAGTAAGCTTCCTCCCTACCTCCACTGCCTCAGCTGTGACTAGAACACCCATGTGGGACCTGGGAGCCTGATCCCATGACCAGCAGTCTCATAGGCAGCTGTCTTGCACGTGGCTGGACCCATGTTGTCTGTCACGACTGGTGGGTTTGGGAAACAACTTTGAGCTCTGCTTGTTGTGGCTGCATTTCTTAAAGACATCACTGGTTGTTCCCAGGGTCCGTTGGTCAGTCCTAGCTGGTGTCCGGGATGGCATGACATTGGTGCCTGTGCTGATGACTCCTCTGGGTGCGGGATGTGGGTGCCCAGGCGCGTTGCTGGAGGAGCTCATGGCTGCCTTGCTGTGCAGTCTCAGTCATCCTGCAGGTGACCTGGTGATGCGAGTGACACCAGGGAGATGTTAGGACCGCGCATTCCGCTCCCTCCTCTCACTACCCACGTTGTGGGAACACCTTTGCTTTCTCTCAGTCAACCCTCCCCGTCCCCACCCCTGCTCTCCTTCCCTGGGACAGGCAAGGGACCCATCAGGCTTCAGCTAAAGAATTCTCTCTGGTCCTGAGCTTCATCGCCTTGACCTTCCATCTCCCTGGCCAAGCAGCAGGGTGGGATCAGCCTGGCTTACTGCCCTGCCCATCCCCTGCTGTTCCTGAGAAATCCCTCACCACCTTCTAGAGGGACCTCACAAATCCAAGGGTTCCGACCTCAATCAGGCTTTTATTTTGGTTCTCTCCTTTCCCCAGAGAGTGTCCTAAAATGTAGATGTGCCCAAGGCACTGCCCTGCTTCAGACCCTTCTGAGGCTCTCTGGGGCCCTGGCATCAGCAAGGAAGCCAGCTGGCTTGCTTCCCACATTCCTCCAGCCTCTCGCCTCCAGCTGCACGGAGCCGCTCTCCTCCCGCGCGGCGCTGGGCGCGGTGCTGGGCGCGGTGCTGGGCGCTGGCTGCCGTCTGAGCCTTCGCACCTGCGCTTCCTGAGCATTTCTCCACCTGGTCTCACCACGCTCGCTCCCCACTGAACAGGAGGACCACGCGTTCCTGCCAGTGAGGGGAGGGAGCTTTACGTCGGTGGAAACTTAGTTATCCCACACGTCTCGGTTTTCACACCTGTCCCCGTGAGTCCTCTCCCGTCCTGGGTTAGGACGCCTACCTGTTCATGTTACATGCTCCCCAGGTACTCTGTGCACTTGGTATTGAGTGTACAGCTCAGGGTTTGGTGGCTCTTTCCTGAGGGGTGGCAGCCAACCCTGGGCCGACAGCCGCGCTGCCTCAGTCACTCCTGCACCTGGGGCCTGGCCCGGAGTCGGAGTGGATGAAACACGGCCGAGAACCAGAGATTTAATCTAAAAAATCATAGCCTGCCGGAGGGACTGCCCGATGAGAGCCTTGGCCGGTCCGCCCGCCTTGCTCAGGCTGCCTGGCGCTGCTGCACACGCGTCCAGTGCAGGCTGGTGGGGGGACAGCGTCTCGGCCTGGAGTTAGAGTGTCCCGGAGGGAGCTGCTGATCTCCTCATTGATGCTTTGGGCTTCTTAGGAGAGAGCCCGACGCTGCTGTTCGCCTTGAAGATCAGTTAGGATTCCAGGAATTTCCTTTGGAGTCCCAAGCTTGACTGTCCCCACTAATGGGGAGGCAGGGGGGGCAGTTGAGCCTCCACCGCCCACAGGCCCGTTCCTAATGGAACCAGTAATTGAATGCTATTAAGCAAAATTAATTTGCCTCCTGCTGGAAGGTTTGTGATGAATGAAAGGCCTGCTCGTTGGGGAGGGAGCCACTGCCCTCTGTGGTCATCAATATTTCATGGCCATAGGCGGTGGCAGGAAGTTAGCAGTCCAGCTCCCTGACCTTGAGCCAGCGGGAAGGTAGGACACAGCCGGGGAGGTTGTATTTAAAAGGCTTGCTACAGGCACTTGGTGTAATCTAAGTGAAGTTTAAATTTGCAAGCTGCACCACTGTTCATTGAATCTACACCCTGAACTAGTGGGAGGTTCCCCCAGATGGTTCAGGGACCCCCCAAGACTGGTCCTCTTTGGGGTGCAGCCCAGTCAGCCACAGTGGCAGAGCTGAAATGTTTAATGACGTCTTTGGCAGGGTGGGGGGAGATCCTGATCTGCAGTGGCTGCTGGTTTCTGTGGTGTTGGCGTGCCCCCCGGGTGGCCACTTTGAAGCTACTGAACCCAGGACTGGGGAAACATGCCGGTTTGCACCTGCACTGGAACTGGAACCCTGCCTGCTGTCCCACAGCTCCCCGACTCTCCGGGTGACTTGTGTGGGGGGCACGGGAGGGATCTGGCCCAGCAGTTGCATTTCCAGGAGTACAGAGTACAGCCGTGCCCCTGGGCAGTGCTCTTTGCTGTTTCGTTAGACTCGGCCCCTTGACTGTGAAGGGTGGGTGCCTTGCAAGTGAGAAAAGTTAATGAGCCTTTATTTGTTCTTCTCCCTAGCTGCTATTAACTTAGCAAAACTGAAACTTTTCAGACATTATTACGTCTTGGTGAGTAAAAAATCCTAAATCTGTAAATAGGAGTAGAGCACATGGGCTCGCAGAGGATGGGTGAGAGCAGGAGATGGGTGCTGCCCAGCTGAGTGGGTTCACTCCACGGACCAATCTGTGTTCCTGGCTGTGGGGAATTAAATGTCTGATGCCTTCTTCTTAAAGTCTAGTTTTAAATTTGGCTCTACCTACTCAGAAAAGCAGTACCTGCTTGGTATTTTTTTAAGTTTTTTGTTTTTTTTTTTAATTTCAGAGAGAGGAAGGGAAAGACAGAGAGAGAGAGAAATATCAACGATGAGAGAGAGTCATTGATCAGCTGCCTCCTGCACGCCCCCTACTGGGGATCGAGCCTGCAACCGGGCATGTGCCCTGACTGGGAATCGAACTACAGTTTTGTGGTTTTGACACAGACTGCCCCTTTAGACATTTTCTCCTGGTCCCAATGAGCAGCCATGCTGAGCGGTCATTGGGTGGACCTTCTCTCACTAGAGGACTTAGTGTTATTGGTCCTGTGCTGTGTGGACCTCAGATGTCCCAGAATCTGCTGCGGAGCCTGGAAGCAGTGCTTCCCGGTGTGGCTTAGCTGGTGCCACTACTGGAAAGCATTTCTCTAACTGGGAGTGAGAGTAGTTCCCTGAGGGGGTTGAAGTCAGTTGGCTGTCTGTGGAGGGTGGGGGGCTCCTCAGGAGTCAGACAGCCATGCTGCACGTCTGTCCCCCCCGGGGAGTGGTGTGACCAGTGGAGGAGCCCACTGTCTGCAGGACTTATTATTAACCCGATAAGTGTCTGATGCTTTTCTTTGGGTAATTCTGTTTCCTGTTTTGTGGTTCATTGGAAAGCAAGTTGTTGGAAGAAAGTGGTGCCAAATTTCTGTGTTGACTTCTTGTTTCTCTCCTCTCTATGTAGATCGTATGTTACATATACTTCACCAGGATCATTGCATTTTTCCTCAAATTCGCTGTGCCCTTCCAGTGGAAGTGGCTCTACCAGGTATGCTCTCCGGGGCCGGGGCCAGGGCCAGGGCCAGGGCCAGGAATTGATGTCTGGGGACAGTCTGAGGCTATAGCTGAAGGTTGTCACAGCTTACCTGGCTGTGCCCAGTAAGGCCTCTGTCTCTTCTGGTCTGTGATTATGATTATGTTCAGGAGAGCTGCTGGGTCACATGAGAAATCTGCAAGTATTGCATTATTGATTTTAGAGTTCGATTTGAAAAGTCTTTTGAAGAGCCTCAGGCAGAGAGTAAGGTTTGCTCTGTGTGATTAAAACCCAGACGAGACAGGTCTTCTCTGTCAGTTCCAGGGCTTAGAGGAGCTTAGAGCCCAGACCTCCCCTTTTTTGCCCACTATCATCATTTCAGTGTAGAGCCTGTTTGCAGTGCCCTGGGACTAGGTTAACCTTGAGGGTGGGGTGGGCCACCAAGTGGTTGGGAGACTTCCCTTCAAGGGCTCACTTGATGCGTCAGGTGCTGTTGGAAGTGGGTGTATAATGACCCTTAAAATCCGGCAGTGGAGACTCCAGGTATAGCAAGAGGCTTCAGTGTCATCTCCTGGCAGAAATTCCTGGCGAGGCCTCCGTGCAGCTAGTGAAGAAGATGCTGTCTAGCCATGAGCTCTGGTGCTGGAGGAGTGGCCGTGGAGTGGGGCATTGCCCAGGGTGGGGGGGCCCCTTGTTTAGTGCCACTGCTCTCTGGAGTACAGGTTGCTCATCCCTCTGTTGGGTGTTTTCGATCTGCAGCTCCTGGAGGAAATGGCCACGCTGGTGTTCTTTGTGCTCACCGGGTACAAGTTCCGCCCCGCCTCAGACAACCCCTACCTGCAGCTTTCTCAGGAAGACGACGACCTGGAAATGGAATCCGTGTAAGAAATCTCTTCTCCCCCCTCACCTTTACTGACTAGGGGCACTGTGTGGACGGGAGCAGCCTCTCCACATTTTGTTGCTCCAGAGGCGGGGCCTCTATGTTTAGCAGAAGGAAGTGGACACTGATCCCGGTAACCCTGGTGGCGAGAACTTGGGGTATGCTGGGCCTATTCACTGCTGAGGTCGGGCAGGCCCTCTTCCTACTGGGCCCCTGCCACTGGGAAACCCGTATCTGAGAATCTGATCATCCAAATCGCCTGTACGTCTCCTGGTTATGGTCAGGCGTTCTCTGTCATCGTAACAAGTGGCTCTTCATGGCCAGCACAGTGACGCCCGTATCTGAGGTTAACGGGCCTCTGAGTCTCAGGGTGAGCGACTAGGGACCTGTCTTCTGGGGAAGGGCAGTTACTTGCTAGAGAAGTGAATGGCGATTAAGAATATTTTGCTTGTTAATGGATGTACTGTGATGGGCCAGGTCCATTGTCCGATGATTAACCCGAGGCTGAGTTTCCAGTGCACTGCCTCCAGCGACGGCAGCCTTCTGATTTTTCCCAATTCAAAGGTGGAGCCTCAGCTGCTGGGCTGGCACAGGCCAGCTCCCGGTGCCAGCTCCACTGTGGGAACAGTAAGCGGAAGGCAGATCCTGCTGGGGCTCCAGACAGCACCTCCCTGTGCAGAGGCAGAAACACCTGTTTATAGATGGTGGAGAGAGAGCAGGAGACTTATCACTTGCGCCTCTTCTGGAAGCTGCAGAACTTAAGCAAGTGACTGTGGTTGAAGAGACACAAACGAGAGTGAGTCTAGTAAGAGCAGTGTTAGGAAGTCACCTGAGACCCGGGGTATTTGTCCATCCCTACCGGGGACCCTTGCTTGTGCCATACACGTTGCCGCAGGGCTTCTCTGGAGCGGGCAGCTGGGAGCCGAATGGCTGGCCCCTGGCATCTTCTGCTTGGCTGGACTGTGCTCCCACGTGGCTGTACCGGTTGACGTTCTCGACAGCCACGCGGGAGCTCCTGTCCCCACATCCTGTCCGTCAGCCATCAGTCTAGAAGTGTGGATGCATTGGGAAGGTATTTTCTTGGGGCAAAACTCTGTTTCAGTGAGTGTTTCTCTCTGACAGTACTTGGTGGTAGGGTAACCATTTTAGCAAGAGGGTCTGTGGTTGTCAGAGGAGGGAAGGGAGAGGGCGTGGACAGACAGACCCCCAGTCTGTGGAGGCTACAGAGTGTGTTCTTTATTCTGACAAGACTTGGGAAGGTTGGCTTGTCCTCGGGCTCTCTCTTTTCACACCTGTCACAGGGCGAGAGTGCTCCGGTCAGTCTCAGGGCCTGGGTGAGCACCATCCTGTGGTAGTGATGTGGGCTCTCCCATGACAAAGGCTGCACATGGAACAGCTGGTGGGGGCAAACCAGGCAGGACAGCTTCTGCTGGATCGGGCACTGGGCTGGGCAGCCAGAGGCCAGCTGGCCTTGTGCCCTATGGCAGCTGTGGAGCACCAGCCAGAGCAGAAACCCTGCCTTCAGGAAGCCCAGTCTGCTGCAGGGACAGTGGGGCAGAGCGTAGACAATGCTTCAGTCCAGGCGTGCCCGGAGCCACAGAAGGGCATGTCACCTGCTGGGACACGAGGGAGTTAGTTGGGCAGAGAAGGTGAGAGCAGAGGCAAGCAGGGCAGGACTCTCCCCGCAGGACCTCACTGTCCCATCTGTGAGGTGAGCCGTGGTCGCTGCGATCTGGGCGGCTCCAGAAGCCTGTGCCTGTGTCCCCAGCTGCTGATTGTTCACTGGAGCTGCCCCCCACCTGTGCTCTGTCCCAGGTCAGGTGTGCTCCAGTGCGTCTGGGTGTCGGGAATGTCAGTGTGGGGCTAGCTTTCTTTTCAGCATGCTAACTGTAACTCAGGGATGGTCCCATGACCATAACTGGAGGACATGGCCACAGCATGAGACCCTTGGAGGGCGTGACCAGGGCTAGTGGTGACGGTGGTCATGACAGCCGCTGCAGGTTGCTTGGGTGCTTTGGAGAATCTCATTCCCCTCACGATAGCCTGGGAAGCAGAGGTAGTTACTATCATGGAGCACGGAGACCTCAGGTGGCCTGGCCAAGCTACACAGCCGCCAGGAGCAGTCAGAGTCGAGCCCAGTTCCAACTCCGGGTATGGTGCTGGTGATGGTGGCCTTCCCGACCACTGACGTGTTCCTCATTGTTTCCTGTGCAGCGTGACGACCTCGGGCGTGATGGAGAACATGAAGAAGGTCAAGAGGGTGACCAACGGCTCGGTGGAGCCCCAGGGCGACTGGGAGTGCGCCGCGTGACGGAGCACCTGAGGCTGGCCCGGCAGAGAACTTAATTTATTAACAGTCCTATTGGTGAGCAAGAGCAGGCGGCACCTCCCGACAGCGGCACCACAGAGCACATGGCTGGGAACACAGTGCCACGGGGGCCTGATTTTTTACTCTCATGAAAACTGGACCTATGGCTGGTCATACATGCTGGGTTCTCCTCCAGGGGGGCACTGCGGAGGGGTACAGCAAGGAGACGAATAAAAGGAAGGCTTTGTTTTGGTTTATACATAGATTTTTTTAATTGGGAGCTCTTAGGGTCCATGCAGTGTGACCCCCACTGTGTGGCACAGCTAAAGGAATGCTGGGTGGGGAGGAGGTGAGGGCTCTCTGTCTGTCGGGAAGGGAGAGGGTCATTGCAGCTTTTGGAGACTAAAACAAATGAAATCAGGTTATTTGGGGAAACAGAGTCAAAACCTAACTTAGCAGTTGAGCCTGCCTCAGACTCCTGTCCCGAAATGTGGCCTCAGACCTTTATCCGGGGTCCAGAAAGGAACTGGAGCCGACAGCTCTAGGAGCCCCGGTAGTCTTTCCAAAGGGGCTGTGTCCAAGGGCTGTGATGTCACCATCAGCCCAGCCCTGGGGCACGACCAGCCTGGCAGGTGGAAGTGGTGTTCTGATTGAACAGTATTCTGTGTTGCCTAAAGGATGGGCAGAAATATATTTTTAGTTCAAAAAGCATTCTGTAGGGTTTCCTTGATCATCCAGAGCAGCACATCTCCTGGTCCCCCTCCTCTCACAGTTTGTATTTGTTTCGTGTGATTGGAATACGGGGGGGGGAAATGGGAAGGAATTTGACTCCAGGAGCAGCTGGGGTCAGAAGAGGTGGTGCTGAGGCACATACTGAGGTGCAAGCGGGTTGTCATCACCAGGCTTCCCCGTAAGCAGATGGGATCTGAGCATGTCCCGGTCTGTGTCCCAGGATGTGTGTGAGGATGAGTAATGGTAATGGTAATGGTTTACCCGGGCGGGTGGGGTCCATCACAGGAGCTCCAAGGTTTCCCTACAGACTGAGATTGGGGATGAGCACGGGGCGCTGCCCACAGTGCCCAGCACTGCAGCTGAGCCGTTCAATCATGGGACCAGCTCAGAGGGTCACGGACGCTGAGGGTGTAGAGGCTTCGTGATCACTTCCCGCTGTGGCTCTGGTCCCTGGACCTGAGGCAGGAGACCGAGCGTGGCCAGGGCAGGAAGGCTTCCCAGTGCTCGGGTGCCCAGGTGTGGCAGCCTCCTGGTGTGTGGACGGTGATGGTCCTTGGCGGTGGCTTTCCTACCTCTGGCATGGAAGGCCAGTCATAAACCACGAGGTTTAGGGGTGGCGCTCAGTATCTGGATTTGGGGGCCTAAAGTTTTTCCTTAGAAACAGTTGTTTCCCTCTGCTGTGCATTCCCGCTCCTGAGCTGGCCGAGCGGAGGCAAGAGAACTCCACTATGCACTTTCATTGGCCTCTGCGCTGTGCCCACCAGACCTCCATGGAGACCTGGTCCTGGCTCCCCCGGCGGTGGGGGCAGTGCCCTCCCAGCCATTGCTGCCACCCCTCCGCAGGTCTCAGAAGGTGCACATGTCTCCCCATCCCAGGACCAGGGAAGCACAGCCTGAGGATTCATCTAAGGGACCTTTCTCTCTCCCTCTCTCTCTCTAACTTGGAGCTACACGACAGGGCAGGATGTTGCAGGGAGATGGGGATCTTTTTAAAGCTTTGATTTTCCTGTGCCCCAACAGTCCCACCTGCAGAAATGTGTCCCAGCCCCCCCCCCCAGGGTGCTTCCCTCAGGGGGGACACTACTGTTTGTCCTGCAAGCAGTGTTCTTGACTCAGTCTTAGACTTCTTGGCTAGAACCAGAGTGTGATGAAACCTCCCTCCTAGAGGGTCTCCACGGAGGGAGCGAGGAATCAAGTGCCTGCAGGAGTGAGGGAGGCAAGACCGTGTGTGGCGAGCCCTGCACTCCGAGCCAAGCCAAGCCCACACTGGCTTCTGCCCCTTGCCCTGCCCCTGAGAGCTGGCTTCCCACACCTACCTCCAGGAGCTGGGCTCTCCCAGCACCTGCATGGCTGCGCCTTCCCAGGGCCGACCCTTTGGAGCAGGAAGGCACAGGTGGGCGTGGTGGTGGTTTGGAAGCCGGCTGCACAGCCTCCGCCGGCAGCTCGCCTGCCTGTATCCTGGCCAGGGGTCAGGAAACATCAGAACGCCGGCCGCGATCGGGAAGACAGCTGCTAGTTAAGTTTACAGAATTCCCTAGTCTCTCTGTCCTGTTCTGTAAAATTCCTTCTCTTTCTCTGTCACCTTATAGTTGTTTTTGTTTTTGTTTAAATTTTTATTTTTGTTTAAAGTATTACAGATGTCCCTTTTTCTCCCCAATGACCTGTTCTCCCCCTTTCTTCCCCCTCCCCAGTCCCTCTCCCCACCATTGTCCGTCTGTCACCTTATAGTTGTGATCAGCATACTGTTGGGTCAAGATGACTGACTTACTGACCGGGGTCCCAAGCACAGCTTTCACCACCTCCCAGCCCCTTCAGCCTGAGTTCCATCCTGGTCCCCGTGGGCTCAGGGGCTGTGGCGCTTAGGGGGTCCAGCCCTCCCCACACCCCAAGCTGGGCAGGGAAGACAGGTGCCCACCCTAGAGCCCTCAGTATTTACTGCTTCACTCCTTGCTCCGACCCCATCTCTGCCCACGCGAATGTCCAGGCTCCCTCTGAAACCTGCCATGGACGGGAGGCCCTGCTGGCTGTGGCATTGCAGGAAGTGGGGGCTCTGTTCTCCTTCAGTAAAGTCCGTGTCGTATAGAAAATTACCTCTTGGCTCACAAGAACAATCACTGATCTGTCAGTCCTGGCTCCTAGCAGTGGCCACAGGCTCCAGCAGCCTGGTGCCTGGCCTCAGGCTTTGACATTTCAGCAGCAAGCATTTCACGGCTGAGCATGAGCTGGCGAGACGCCGGGGAGCTGTGGGCCTTCCTGCAGAAGGAGAGGTTGCTCCGGTGCAGAAGGTGCTTCCTCAGGTCGTAGCTGTAGCCATAGCCGAGTCGGGTCACCTCTCCCAGGAAACCACTCAAGTAAAACCGCCAGGGTCTCCCCCTCCCCACCCGGCTCTGTCCAGCCAGCCAAGGCAGCACCCGGGCGCACAGGCCCACTCCATGTGACTGTCGTGACGGGATTTCCTCCTCCCATTATGATCTCATCAGGATCCCTGCTCTTTCCACAGCCTGCGCCCCTCCTCCCCCTCTTCCCCCATCTCCTCCTCCCCCCTTC